GCTGAATATTGCAGAGATAAGATGGACCTTCAGAGCCAAGGTGTTGTCTTTGGACTTGGTTTAGTTTTTTTTTTTTTTTTTTTATTTTGTTTGTAAAGATTTCATTTATTTGACAGAGCGAGAGACAGTGAGAGGGGGAATGGGAGAGGGAGAAGCAGGCTTCCTGCCGAGCAAGGAGCCCGATGCGGGGCTCGATCCCAGGACCGTGGGATCATGACCTGAGCTGAAGGCAGACGCTTAACGACTGAGCCACCCAGGCACCCCTGGACTTGGTTTAGTTTAAGACAGACTTGATATTATGTCTTCCATTAGAGGGAAAAAGCAAAACACAAAATCAGGCACTGCTGTTAGGTCTAAGTTTCAGGCATTGTGATTACTTCCAAATAGATTTAAAAAGAAAGCGAGGTAGAGAGGGAGGGAGGAAGGAAAGAAAGGAGGGAGGGAGGGAGGAAGGAAGGAAGGAGAGAAGGGAAAGAAATAATGAATGTGCAAGCTCAATTTTCAGATGGAGTCTAGTACACTGTGATGCTCCTCTTGAGTTTTTTTTAAAGCATTTGTCTTTCACCTGCTGTGACTTTAGAGGCTAAAATACTATTCTGTTACTTTTATGAGAGTGGTAGCAGAAAAAAAATGAAAAAGGTTTTCAAGTTTGGCAAAATCTGTACAAAATGTTACTGAAACCATACACTGCTTTGGTCAGTGGAGAGGCAGCCTGTTGATGAGCGTTTGATTTTTAGACAGGATGTGTGATTTTTTTTTCTTTCTTTCTTTCTTCAGCCTTAGGAAGTAAAAAACTTGGCTTTTATTGGTAAAGTTGTCAGACACTGAAAAACAGTGACAGAGATTCTTCATTTGACCAAACTTTTTAGTCAGGCTTCTAAATTTTTTCCATGTTCCATCTGTGTACTTCTTTGTAAAATCCAGTTTTAGCAAGAACCCTGCTAAGTCAGTGTAACCTGAAACCCCCCCCATATCTGACACCCCTCGGTATCTGATCGGGTTTCTCATCTTCCACCATCCCCCGAGTGATGTCTGATCACCCTGGCCTGTCTTCAGCAAAGAATCCTGTTAGGTCAGTTTAGCCAGAACCCCCCTTACTCCTGATGTTTCCTCTTAGTAATTTTGTATCTACTGACCCCCACCCTGATCCTTAGCTGTAAATTCCCGTGTGTTTATGCTGAGTTGAGTCCAATCTCTCTCCCCCACCCATAAAATCCCATTGCAGGGGTCCCTGTACCTAATGCAATGGTCCTGGATAAGGTCTTCCTTACCATCTTTAAAAGTGCTGTTGAATATTTTAACAACTTAAGGGGTCTTTAGTCTTTAGTCTTATAGGTAGCCTATAGGCAGTATCCGGTTTTCAGATATGCTTTGTTTGGCATTTGTTGTGTTTTGCAAATGGAGTTAGTTGCCAATACTTGAAAAATAGGCACTAGCATGTAATAATCCAGATTTTGCATTTTCTTGAAAAAACATCTGAAGAAATGACAAGAAAGACAAAACTGGCCAAGGCAAGGTAGCAGCTGCTTCCTTTGGACCGGGAGGCTTTCTCTTACTCCCCCTAGTACCTCTCCAGCTGGCTTCTCTGCCTTTTGTTCTCTACCTGGAAGTTCATGCATTTGCCTTTGCAATTGCTTCAAGTATGGTTTTCTGAGGAGTTAGTACTTCCTGGTGTTACTGCGTGTCCTTAAGGACACTTCCCCAGTCCCCTTTTTTAAGTATATGAATTTATAAGGATCTGAGAACTTGTAAGAAAAAGGACATACTATGTATAATTTTAAAGAAATATGGAGTGACATTATTCTAATTCTTATTGCACCAATTCATATGTTTTTTGCAGCTCTGACGTTAATGCTTAATTGTGTGCATAATTATGACTACATCTGTGAATAGAGTTTTTTATTAATGATGTGATTTAGATACATTTCTTTTGTTTATTTTTTTAAAAGATTTTATTTATTTATTTGAGAGAGAGAGAGGGAGAGAGCACAAGTGTGGGGGAGGGGCAGAGGGAAGCAGACTCCCTGCTAAGCAGGAAGCCTGATGTGGGGCTTGATCCCAGGACCCTGAGATCATGACCTGAGCCGAAGTCAGACGCTTAACGACTGAGCCACCCAGGCGCTCCTATTTAGATATATTTCAAGAAAGTGTAGTTAAACCACTGAAGAATGAAAATACCCAAATTTTGGGAAATTAGCTTTTAATCAAAGAATGCATGCTATTAATGGATGGTTCTGTATTTTTTTTTTTAAGTAGAAAAAGAAATGGATAAAATTTTACTTCTTAAGTACTTGAAAACATAATTTAATATTTGGGGGGTTTTTTTGTTTTTATTTTCTTTTTAAGATTTTATTTATTTATTTGACACAGAAAGAGAGCGAGAGAGGGAACACAAGCAGGGGGGAGTGGGAGAGGGAGAAGCAGGCTTCCCGCGGAGCAGGGAGCCCGATGTGGGGCTCGATCCCAGGACCCTGGGATCATGACCTGAGCCGAAGGCAGATGCTTAACGACTAAGCCACCCAGGCGCCCCATAATTTAATATTTGAATTTGCCTTTATTTTGACTGAGTTAAAAAGGAATTAAACCAAAGTGAACCAAGTGTCTAGTAAGTGCCAACTATTTCTATCTATAAAGTACAACTTTACTCCAGACACAGTGCGCAGCTCCTCTACTGCATTCAGTGAGGGGATCATAATAGTAATTCCTGTCGTATGGAAACTGTGTTACATTATCTTTTGAAGGCTCTCAACCATTTGCTTGGTTTGATTTTAAGATTGTGTGCCTTAAAGTTTAATTAATACAATGACTGAAGAACGTTTGCATTTAGAGGATAAGGTTAAAATAATTTGTTCTCCTTGAACCTTGTGAAGGAAAGGTTAATACGACTAAATGAATTACATTGAAAGGATTAAGTTAGAAATTGAGCCTTTAAAGAAGTCTGAGGTAAACTTTACTTATTTGGGGGTTCATAGGAAAGTTAAGCATTCATTTTGGTTTTTTAAGCAAAGCAGGAATAAATACTATGTATGTCTGAATATAAGGTGATCCCAAGATACTAATGTTTATTTTCCCAATGAGAAGTTTTGAATATGTAAAACCCTAAGGCATATGGATAAAATGGTGAAATATTTACTTGCATTTTAATTAACAATTAACTTCCACATATGTATTTTAAAATCACATATTACATAAAATATTAATTAGAAATACTATTTTTCTCTACTTTTTAAAGTTCATTGACTGATTTTATTTAAATTCTTCACATGTGATTCAGCACTTGTGTCTCTGTCATTACAAAACCCTGTGTTTGGAATCACTTATCCAGTTTTCTAGGACACGCCATTTCTGCTTAAGTTTTTTTTGAGACTTCAGACTTTTTGATGTAAATATGATTCTGCCATTGTAAACATTATGCCAAGCTACACATCATTTGCATAATAGTGGGACAGTTATTTTTAAAAATTTGTCCTCTAGGTGACTACTTTTGATCTCTTGTTCTTTAAAGTTATCTTAATAGGCTTTTACATGATCATATCCAGCATTTGCAATTTTAAGAAATAATTACAGAATCTGTTTGGAATTTTTGCTCTAAAGAACAGATTTTGTTGGGGCGGCACCAGGGTGGCTCAATTGGTTAAGCGTCCGACCCTTGATTTCAGCTCAGGGTCGTTAGATGGAGCCCAGCATCCATTGTTGGGCTCTGCGCTTAGCTCAGAGTCTGCTTAAGATTCCCTTTCTCCCTATCCCTCCGCCACTACCCCCCCACTCTTTCTCTCTCTCTCTCAAATAAATATTTTTAAAAATACCAGATTTTGTTAAATTACATTTGTAAGAGTTTAAAACTAGGAATAATGGAGGTTATTTCAGCCTCATGTTTTCTCCAAACCAACCTTTGTTTTACATAATAATGTGATACTGAGATTTAGATAAGAATTTGACTATGAGGGGCACCTGGGTATCTCTGTTGGTTAAGCATCTACCGTCAGCTCTGGTCATGATCCCAGGATCCTGGGATCGAGGCCTACATCAGCTCCATGCTCAGCAGGGAGTCTGCTTCTTCCTCTGCCCCTCACTCCCCACTCATGCTTGCTCTCTCTCTCTGAAATAAATAAATAAAATCTTAAAAAAAAAAAGAATTTGACTCTGAGGTGATTTGCTCTTTCCTGGGAAATGTTCTTGGGGGAGGAAAAAAATCTGCCTGATGTTTGAACGTATATGATACTTCCTTTTTCTTCTGCCTTTCCAGGTTATTCCTTAAATCTTTACTACTAGTAAAGTGCAATAAAATGTAGTAAGGTAGATATCCAGTGGGGGGGCAGGGGAGCATCTTATATAATGGAAAGTCAAGGCAATGTTATTAATATTGTGAGATTTTTTTCTTATCCTAGTGCATATCAACAGTTATTAACATATCCATTTCTTAAAGAAATATTCCTATAACAAAGATAAGTGATAACAAGATAAAAGGTTATACTACATGGTACACATTTTCTATGAATGTTCCCATAGTTGTATAATACTTATTGTGTGAGATTTTTATTAGGAGGTAGCAGTTAATTTGGCAGGAGATGTTGTCCTTGTCATTTCCTGATATCCATGAACTACACCATTAACCACAAACTACAGAAGATGAGAACGGCTGGTGTTTTTATAACGGAGGGTGATGAGGGAGATGAGAGAGCTTGGGAATATGAGAGGATTTAGAATTTATCATGTTTAGTGGTTTTTGTCTTGGTTATTCAATGAAATGCCTACTTTTAAGAATTTAAGAAAAATGAAGTGGTAAGTATTATTACTTTCATATCACCTATGAAAAAATCTATTATTGTAACATTTTGCAGGGAGGGATAACTCACTTTTACTCTGGGGCTTCCAGCTTTGTATGAAAAAAAACTTACGTCATTAGTATACCAGAAATATGATAATTCAGTACTACATATATTAGCAATAAATTATACCAGTGAAAATAATGATGAATTATCATTGTTATCTCTTAACAGTGGAAAGAGTGGAACGAGAAAACCTTTCAGACTATTGTGTTCTGGGTCAGCGTCCAATGCATTTACCAAATATGAACCAGCTGGCATCCTTGGGGAAAACCAACGAACAGTCTCCTCATAGCCAAATCCACCACAGTACTCCAATCCGAAACCAAGTGCCCGCGTTACAGCCTATCATGAGCCCTGGTCTTCTTTCTCCCCAGCTCAGTCCACAACTTGTTAGGCAACAAATAGCCATGGCCCATCTGATAAACCAACAGATTGCTGTTAGCCGGCTCCTGGCTCACCAGCATCCTCAAGCCATCAACCAGCAGTTCCTGAACCATCCGCCCATTCCCAGAGCAGTTAAGCCAGAGCCAACCAACTCTTCCGTAGAAGTCTCTCCAGATATCTACCAGCAAGTCAGAGATGAGCTGAAGAGGGCCAGTGTGTCCCAAGCTGTCTTTGCAAGAGTGGCATTCAACCGCACACAGGTATGATTAGCATTGAACATGGTAATTCGTGGTTAAGACTAATACTAAGGACAGAATTGTGACGTACTTTTTATCCCTTTAAAAAATTTTTATGGATCCCAGAGCACTCAGGATTAACTAATAATCTTTAGTTCGGGAAATACTGTCAGCATTGATCCATATATGGCCATAATTAATTAATTTCAGTAAGGTAATGAACATCTGTGAACTCAGGATCCAGAATGTTACCAGTGACTTGAGACTGTGTGCTCCTCTCTTCCCTCATCTTTTCCATCTGCTTTTCCCCAGGTATAACCCTGATCTTGAATTTTGTGGTTATTCACTTGTTTTTTAAAAACTAGCTCTAAAACTTTATGCATATGTAATCTTTTATTTACCTTGTTTTTGAACTTCATAAAAAGAGTATCACTGATGTCATGATTTCTATAATTTTTTTTAAAAACCTTTCAAAATATACAAGTTAGATTTAAGATATTGATAAAATGGTAATGGATAGTTTTCTCATATTTTTTAATGTTTTGGGGGAATTACATGCAATACTAAATGATAAAAAGATAAACAGTTTATTTATGTATATCTTGCTTTACTGAGGCCCTCATCTCAGTATTTCTTTTTCCATAGTCTGGGGTGGGACCTAGAAATGTGCATTTGTAACAAGGTCCCAGGTGATTCTGTTGCTGCTGGCCTAGGAACCATACCTTGAGAACCACTGATTTAGTCCTTATATGAGTAACAAGAAAACAGAAGTGCTAATCTCAAGGAGCTAATGACGTGGTAGTAAAAGAAAAAAAAAAAGTATTCAGATAATGAAAGTAAAATGAGAAGTAATATGAATAGTGTAGGAGAATAACCATGGTTGTAGTGGGTTGTAGCTCCATGAGGAGCTGGGCATAAAGAATAATTACACTAAGATGAATATAGTGTCGTTAAGAGGAGTAGGTTTAAGTTTGGCTACCCTACTAAATGCAAGGCAGGAAGCTAAGCTCTGTGCAAATGCAAAGATGAAAAAGATCATGGGCGCCAGCTCATATGTAAACACCTGACATGAGTATTAAGTTGCTGGAAAGTTAGACCTTGAAGGATAAATAGAATTTAACAGGCAAAGATGGAGAAGAAAGGTATTTTTGGCTACAGGAATTAACGAGAAAAGTGCTGAGTCAGGCAAGTGTGGGAATAGTTGGTAGTTGATAGCAAAGCTAGATAATAAAACTTAAAAGGCGGAAACAGATCAAAAAAGGTCTTAGGGCCATGCTAGGAACTTTGAACTTTAATAGGCACTGGAAACCACTGAAGGTCTTATGTAGGAATATGCTGTGATCCAATAATCAGAATTGGATCTTAGGAAGATCTTTCCCCCCCAGTCATGATGGCAAGAGGGTAGGAATATCATTTAGAAAGCAGCTAAGTGTAGCTGAAATGTGTAGAAGTTTTGAACTAGGCTGGTGGTTGTGGAGTAGAGTCCAGAGTCAGGAAGCACTGTGGAAGTAAAGTTGACAGAAAGTGTAACCATCATAATGCCAAGGTTTGAGCCTTGTGGCTGAGAATAAATCTGTAATCACTTAGAGTATCAAGGAGAACATTGAAAGAGATGGTTGGAATAAGCTTAGAGTGATTATTTTGGATTAGGCTATTTTGACTCTGAAGTGCTGGCAGATTTCTTAAATGAAGGTAGGCAAAAGTCATTGAAAATGTGAATTTGGTGCTAAAAAGAGTTTTCAGGGCTAGAGGAAGAGATTAGAAATTTATTGCCAGAGCCTGGGATTTAAAGAGTTGGGAGAAGGAGGAGGAAAAACCGTCACCACTACTCTCACCAGGAAAAGAGAAGAAATGCCAGTAGAGATGGACGCAGGTGGAGATGGAAGGGTAGGGAGGTTGTAGTGAGAGTACAGCAACATGAGCAGAATTTCCAGGAGACTTGTCCATGTGTACAAAACTAAGACATCTGGGAGTGAGAGGCTTGAACCATGGCATGAAATTTGGTGATTGGTTGGAAGAGACCTATGGCGAACTTAGAGTAGAATTTCATTAGAGTGGAGAAGGCAGGAGCCAGAATTTAGGAGTTAAGGAGTGGCTAAATGTTGAGGATGCAGAAGCAGGGGCTGCAAATTACTCTTTCCAGAATTTGGTGTTGAAAAGGAGGCCAGAAGTGTGTTGACAGTTTGAATGTGATAGGGCTTCAATCTGAGATAGAAGGAATTTTGAAGTAGTTTGGGATCTCAGCTGAAATTAACAGGCATGACCTAGTGATGGAACCATGCACTGTGGTTTGTTAACAGTCTCCAGGAATGCTGGAACCAGGGGAGTGGAGCAGGGAAGAAGCACAGTGGGGTTGTTTGAGGTTTAGTGCTGACAGATTAGGTATGGCAGGAGACCAAGAGGGGGAAATCTTTTGCTCCCTTGACTCTTAGCTAATTTATACATTCTATTATTGACAGACTCACTTGACATCATTTAAAAATGAGTTTGGAGGTTCACAGAGGTCTGCACATGTTCCGGATATCACTCTATGACTTCTTTTTTTTGACTCAGAGTAATCAAGCAGCATTTGTGTGTCCACAGTTATCTGAACTAGGGTTATGAAAAACGCCGGTCCTTTTGAGCATGTCTGTTGCATATTTGTTGCTAAATACAAAGTGGAAGGATGCGTCTTTCAGTCTTTATTTTGCAGGTGTGTGTGTCCTTTCACCTGTCATTCATGCGCGTGAATAGGCGTTTCATAGCTGGCCAACATTTTATTGCCTGATTATATATACAGTTCCTTTGGCTAAGGATAAAATTGAAAGCATGGTTGGATTTTAGAATCAAATACAGTATACATTTTATCCAAATAGCATGAAGCCTCAGACTCGCAGAGAGACTAGACAGAAGACAGACCATGCTGGTGTGAGGGCGTGCTCTGCCAGGGCCCTAGGATCTTGGCGGTCTGTCTTCTCCCACACAATCCTTTTTGTCTGTCTTCATGGATTAATGATTTTTCTTTGGCATTGCCATCGCTGAAGTGCCAAGTTATAAAAGGTCTAATTGAAGCATGGAACACATTTTATTATTTTCCTCCTGCCATTAAATTTGTAAGATGGCTATACCCAGAAAGGAACATTCACTTTCAATCAACAGGAGTTTGAGTTCATGGGCCAGCCTTGAGGATATCAAATGGAAACTGCGTAGGAATGTATGAGTATTTCCTTTTAAAATTCTGCTTTTAATTTGGGAAAGCTTTTCATCCCTCTGGGATCATAACCTGTTGTGTATAAAGCCCAACCTAATCAAGGTAGATGGTATTGACAGAATGACTTAGTTTGAACTTAAGCCAGAGGTCAGCAGGCAGATTGTTTTTGCTGTATGTACTGTAGTCACTAACAGCAAGGTTGGACAGCTGGGTTTCACCAGCAGAATCATTAAATGGAAAATGTGGTGTACTATGCCCCATGAAACCAACCATGGATTTTCCAAATGTTAGGCCTTTTTGAGTGGAATCAGACATTTATGGGTGATATAATGATTTGCCAGCTATAATAAACAAAAATTAACTTTATAGATAATAACATAAATGAATGGTTAATCTTTAGATAGAAAAGAATCTCAACTTTTTTTTTCCCCCCTCAAAGCAAACAGGATCAGAACCTCTTATTTTAGATGGGTACCTAAGGCCAATATCAATCTTGTACTTAGTTGCTTTACTGATATATGTAATATATCTTTAGTGCTTTACTGATATGTAATATATCTTTAGTCCACTGAATATATTCTTTTTTTTTAAGATTTTATTTATTTATTTATTTGAGACGGAGAGAGAGAGCATGCACATTCATGCATGAGCAGGAGGGGTGGAGGGAGAGGGAGACGCAGACTCCCTGCTGAACAGGGAGCCCGATGAGGGGCTTGATTCCAGGACCCCAAGATCATGACCTGAGCTGAAGGCAGATGCTTAACTGACTAAATCACCCAGGGCACCTCCACTGAATATTTTCTAGAAATAGTTCATGATCTCTATTATTTATTATCAAATTCAATAAAAAGCAACTTGATTTGTCACCCTATAGTTCATGTTCCTGGTTTTGTGCTTGATGATTGGACCAATAGCATCTAGTAATTAGAGAGACAGAGAGAATGTGTATCGAACAAAACCAGACGTATAACATTCATAAATGAAGTTAAAACTAAAAAAAAAAAAAAAAAAGCATCAGCTTAGTTTGTCATGTTTAAAACTTCCCGATGAAGAACTCAAATTCATAATAAATAGCATTTGAAAATGCCACTTCTCCAAAGAGAAACTATTAATTACCTTGTATATCTGATCCATTGCCACTGTAAGTATATCATTTGGTGATATAAAATAACACAATTGAGGGAATAGAGCTATATTTCCAAGAACTTGCTTTTAATACATTTTTATGTTAATCAATGTGCCTTGAGATCATGCAATGCTAGAATATCAAATCTTCAGCCTGGGCACGAGATTAATGTAGTTCTAGATGCAGGGTATAGCAGAGCATCATATCCTGTCTGTGCCATCAGGATGATAGAAGCCTGTTTTCGTCATTATGACCTTACATAAAATATATTCTGAGCATCATCACTTTCTTCTTTATTAGTCTTTTGGAGGAAAAGGTTAACCTCACTTTTTGGGTCTCTGAGGATTTTATGACAAATGAGAGATAAAACGTTTTCTGACCTGGTCATTAATTTTCAGGCAATCCTGTGATACAGTTCTAAGTGTTTCTGTTACCTGTGATCACGAAATGAGGTGGTATGGTCAATACACCAGAGGAGGCTGAGGCAGATAACATGTCTGCTCTGTTTTTGGTGTTTTAATTCTCCCTCACCCCCTATTCCCCCTACTTTTACTTCTAGAAGCTAGCAACTGCTAGTCAGCTTTTCATTCAAAGAACTTTCCTCGGGCTACTGGATTTTGCTTTGCTCACACTGGCAGAGAGCTGTAAAATACTTAACCAATATCTGGTAGGTGCAGGAGGATGAAAGCCCAGTTCCCCTTCCTCCAA